TTCACCCTAAGCTGTGTAGGTGAGCTCACGGGGCTCAAACCGGAGAGTTGTAGAAACGACGGTTTGTACGGTAATTCTTGAATTGCTTACACTAATCTAAATAAAATAAAGTGTTCTGTAACAATTCTTTAGTCAATTAACAATTCAATAGCTTAATAATTCAATCAATTCATAACAATTCAATAGCTTATCATTATATTTTAAAATTTTACAAATACTAAATGTAATGCCTCGCAATAATCGTAAAAATATTTGGCATACCAAGATTGTTTTCAATTAAGTTAAGTACGCACTTACAAGTTAAATAACTACATTTACTGTGGACTTATCAATGGTTGAATTGCGTTAGTAAAGTGTAGGTACATGGCAAGTAAATATTGATGCCAGATGCAGAGGCTAGACTTGAGTACACGGTGGGGTAGAAAGTGGGCAGGGAACGCATGCCCGAGTATATACCGAACTACCTACTTTATACTAAATATAAATCAGTATTTATATTGACTAGAATAAAATGCACGGGTTTGTTGGATCGAAAGTTCATTTTAGTATTTAAACAAAGTAGCTAGTCTCTGATGTTATTGTATTTATTTTTAACAAGTTTTAATATAAGGGCAATAACAATTAATATAATGTTAGCTTAGATATTGTATTGTGTATTAATTATAAACCGGGCGGCAAGTAGAAGAAACGGCAGGCAAAATTCTTATACAGTACCTACTGTTATTTCAAAAACGTGTAGTTATTGTTTAGGTTCACTTTTATGAATAAAAACTATTGTGGTGCTGAAAAGAGCCATATTTCCATATATCGTCCACTTTACGTCGTATCCCGTATGGGAACTCGGTCGTAAACTTTTCCAGTTAATTTATTTTAACTTTGGTATTATAACATGCGGTTATAATTTGGTATTATAGATGCGTAGAACCGAAGATCGGTTTCAGTGGCGAGCTTTGGGGGAGGCCTATGTCCAGCAACGGACTGCCGCAGGTTGATGATGATGATTATAACAAAAATTCAAATTCATTAAAACTATAGGATTTTTTAAACAAACACCATACGTCTTTCGGCTATATGATATTGAAAAAAATATGCGAATTGATGGAGTGACATTTTCTGTCGTCATTATTCGACCAATTATTGTACACGGTATCTGTTGGTTGTCCTCCCGGTCAGTGGTAATTTCAGCAATTTACGGAACACCTACGATCCGCAATAATTCGTTACAAGCCACAATCAAAGATCAAGCCAGTTACCGCAATAAACGTAAGGTCAACAAAACTTAAGACTGAGATTTTAATATCAGTTTTTTTCTCTGGTTGTGTTTATTAAATAATTACTGTTAATAAGTCGGAATGATAATTTCGTGTCAATATTTGTATAATAACCTTATATTATGTGATAAGCAGGGTTATCCGTTTTTTTTTTCAACTAGTTAAATATTAGAATTGTACGAAAATCAAACGGAAATTCCCATTTTATAACCGTGACCAAGGAAATATTATTGCAAAACATGCAAAATTCATATAAAACAACACAGACACATGAAAGAATCATAACTAATTTGATAAAAATCGTGATTTTTCCAACCCTGGTTTTACGATAAAGCAACGAACATAATTGATAAATTCAAACATGTTTAGTATTTAAGCGATTACGTAAACATTTATGGTAGTTTACGTTTTTAACATGAATGGTTTACTAAAATTCACTTCATGTTGAAAGGCACGAGTTCTATTCTTCTTGGCCGCGATTAAAACAATTTATTTTTACACAATAAAAACAAGATTAGTTTCAAAACCAAGTCATACATGAACAATCAATAAGAAATTTCTCGACAAATTCCAAGATAAAGATTGGTTAGGTGCAATCGTTGTACAACGCTGAGAGCGTAGAGATTCGAACACAGGTGTTGAAAACTTAAGTAGCTTAGAAGTCGAGGAGCGTGGACTGCAAGTGTTAATAAAAGAGAAACAAGGTTTAAACTTTACCCTGGTACGTATTTATGTCACAACGTGCTAACATCGAGCTCCAGGGATCGGTACGAGGGGTCGGGATATAAGGGATAGTCGAGACTTTAGGTCGGTGCTCTCGGCGGCTATCTTGCGGCTTGTTGTAAACTAGACATATTGATTTTTGTATAAACAATAAATACACTTACAACGAAACCGAGTGATTTCGAATTTCGTGTTATTTTTGGAAATTTGAAGATATATGTTTGTCCAAAGTAATTTTTAACATAATTTTATATGCTTTTGTCTTAGCTATAGAATCGCTTTTTCAATTATTTCGACGCATTTAATTTGCGAAATATATTTACTGTGTGCGAAGTTTGCTTTTTACATTTTACATATTTTTTAAAGTAACGAAACATAATAATTTATCAAACCCGTGTGTTCTACTGTTTTACAATGTTAGTATAAAACAGGAAGATAAACATACAATATCCATTAAATTTCTTACTTTTACCAATGCGGATACGTAAAGTACTCTTTTCAACTACCTATAAACCTTTCAATACTTCAGTAAGTAGCTGTTTCAATGCGATCACGTTAAGAAAATTTATAGCGAGAATTCACTACGTAAATGTTCAAGAATATTTTTAACTTCTCAAAGTTCTTTATGCCACTACCAATTTTTCTCGACCGCCTATCAGGTAGGTAGACGTCCTTGCCAAACTTTTCAAATTAGTTTTGAGCATGCTTCATTTTTATTTATTTTAATAAACAAAGTTAGGAACTCGTTTTTCTTCGTCATAGGAGTTCTCAAAGAAAGAAAAGTTGGGTTATTAGAATTAAAGTTTAAATTGGCGTTAAAGAAAACAAAACTTTATTTTTTAATCATAAAGTGTTTAAGTATACATCTTCAATGTATTGAAATGTGTCAGTGCATTGGAATTCGTCTGTACGCGTAGTTTTACTCGATTTACCGTGGGAAAGTTATAGCTTAGCTGTAATCTGTGAGGTAATCGGTAATCCACAGGCGTCAAATGACAAATCGTCACGCTCGAGTGGTATAAATATGTATACTTGAATATTTTCTTAGTAGAATTTAAAATTATTAAAGAGATAACTAGTTTTAAAATTACTATTTAACACATTACCTTATGCATGCGCCAGATCGANTTTACTCGATTTACCGTGGGAAAGTTATAGCTTAGCTGTAATCTGTGAGGTAATCGGTAATCCACAGGCGTCAAATGACAAATCGTCACGCTCGAGTGGTATAAATATGTATACTTGAATATTTTCTTAGTAGAATTTAAAATTATTAAAGAGATAACTAGTTTTAAAATTACTATTTAACACATTACCTTATGCATGCGCCAGATCGAATTTATATTTAAATACATGTATTTAAGTACTACAATTTATATTTAAGTACTTTGAAACTACCCTCTCAATATTAACGTTTGAGTAGACTAATTTGTATAAGAACATTTTTGTTAAATTGCAAGAGAGATTGACTGATTCATGATTATGTTATTTCTATTGTTCATAGGATTTTCTTTATAGGAGTCAGGTGTATTTCCCAATATTCTCGCTTCTGCAAACATGAGAAACTTTCGTCTTTTTTAAACATTTGTCCAGAATAATATATTTACTTTCATGTAAGCTCTTATGGTTATAAATTATTACTTTAGATTGTGGGAATTGGGCACAACAGTAAAAATTTATTTGAACAAACTAGGCAGGCACATTGAAATACAGCTAAGACAAATAAACCGTGGAACTAATATTTCAACAGAGCAATTTGTTTGCTTTTATTCTTAACGAAAATATCGTCGTGTATTTTCGGAATTAGTTTAGATAATAATGCTAACGAAATTGGGTTACGATTAGTAAGAGCTAAGGAATAGCATATTGATGACGCATCACGATCGTAATTTTTATATTTTCTTTTTATTGTTTTACTGTTTATTATGCTCTCATACAAAATGCCGCCGGTAGTCGTATGTTCATTTTGAAGGTAAAATGTTTCGTCTTATTCGCCATATGTTTCGCAATCTTTGTGGTAACGTGTAATTTTCAAAAGTATTCATTCTGGATATACCATTGTCGGCGGAATTATATGAGTGTTGTTGCACACCGCATGTGGTAAATTAAATAGGAGCAAGGAACCTGTTTGGGGCTAATACACGCGAGCCGCTTTAACGAGCGACAAACGGAAAGTTGTCGCCATAACTCCACTGATAGCTACGAATGTAGTTTTATTACACGATTCAGCGTGGATACATACTTTACACATATTGTCACTTGAGTACAGCGCGATAAATGAGTACAAACGAGCGAAAGCCACTTAGACCAAATTTACACTTTGTGGGAGACCGCGACTTCGTCTCGCTCACCGAGAGCGCGCCGTTTCATGTCGCTAGTCAGCTGCTCAATACATACTAAAATAAATACATATACATATAAGCTTTATACATAACGATCGTGCAATCAACTGCTAAGACATTGTCCGTTATACAAAGTATTTTTAATTTTAATTGGGAATAAAGAAGCCGTGCACTTACTTACAAGTATCTTTTTCTCATAGGGTTCATCCACTGGGTCAATGCACTTCCGAGACTACGTTTTAAAGCGATTATACGTTTACGAGCCAACGTTTTTATAAAAGAGATATTAATAAAAAGTAATCTACACTAAATCTAACCTTATCGATAGATAATTTACATATATAAAACTTGATTTGTACGAAATAACTAAGAGGTTATTTACTAACTGATTAGCTATGCATACCTGTAGTAGTATGTTTACATTTACATTACTCCAATGTATATTAAAGTTTACATTTGACCAAACATTAGTATTTTATCACTATTTGTAATTAAGTATAGAAATGTAAACAAAGTGTGAATCGTGCAGTACAGATGTCTAGGGCACCGCCAAATCAAAATTAGTAATTTTTCTGATTTAAGCCAGGTAGGATATTATTTACCCACGTTAGACCATCACCCACAACAATTAGTCGCAAGGCAATTGAGATTGTCAAGTGCTTACCTCCAGATCTTCATAGGTACGAAATGCCATTATGGCGAAGCCGTCAATGATATCTTCTTCTCCCAGCGGCTCCCTCGACTTTTTTCTCCTGGCGGGAGGACGAGGCGGCTTTTCTCGTGCCGGAGACTCATCCTCGCCGCTGTCTCCATCCTTAACTTTACTCTCTCGCTGTGCTTGCATGCGCTGTGCCCGCTCCCTTCGTCTATTTCTTTGATTGCGCTGCTTCACTTCGTTTTCCATCGTTCGCACATTATTCGTATCACCCGACCACCATGTTTCACTACACTAAAGTCCGCACTACACTTTTATCACACATGGTTATTCCTTGATTATATACCAAGATTTTATACAAAATACGAATCTTACACTCATGAAAAAGACACAGGACGTTTCCAATGGCGGACCGTACACCGTTGCCGCATTGCAAGTAAAATGGCCGCGTAGCACTCCACAGGCTGATTCCTTTCACATTCACGTAAACGGAGACATAATTTCACTTAACTAAGGTATCTTACAACATATTTCAATAACAACTAAGACAATATTATGGTAAATTAACTTTATACATTATTCTCTGTGTTCAGAATCAGTCAATAGTCAATACAATGAAAGGTGTTTCACGACGCTAACGCTGCGTTGCGGTCGCGATGGTGAACTAAAGCAGTGCTACCAACATTTAGATGTTGCGTGATACTGAGCGTCATTGGTAATGTGGCGTTCAGTCGGGAATACTGTTCTTTCAAATATAGTTATCTCTTTCTAAAAGTGAATTTTGTGAATTCAGAACTGTTCTATTCTTGTAAGGTTTGTAGTTTAATATGTGAATTACATGAAATTATCTTATTTTGTCGGTCGTGTGCATAATAGCACTAAATATTAAAAAGGTTTAAATAATTGTAAAACTTGTAAAATGTTTTTGCAAAGTTGTTATGTTGGTAATCTTTGTCGTAAGCAGTGTCGTTTAACACACAGATGTTTCCAGCTGCACACACTGTGTAAGAATTTACAAGGAAACATGAGTACGTTAGGTACAAATTCTTCTACTGATAGGGCACAGTTATATAGTGCTATGAAATGAGGTTAAATTGAATTGAAAACGAAAATGTGAGTGAAGTTCGTACGCATTTGACGTTTTCGTTCAGAAAGATTCCTAAAAATATTATACTTTTAAAACACAAATGATATTGTGCAACAATAAATTGAATAGGGTATTGACTAAATATGTAGGTACCTAATAGTCTTATTAAATCTATCGTCAAAACTAAACCGTATCACTGGTGTATTTTAAATTGAAAATAGAATTACATAATTTTATTATTACCACGTTTCCGTACCAATTTAAGTTGTTTAATTTTTGCCCGGTTGGAGGTCTTTTAATATAAATATTAAATAAGTATGTAATAAAATCACCGTATATAGTATTTTTACAGCCTATTGTTCAACGATTCGCTACGTAATAATTACATGTTACTGATCGTACCTATTAAACATTTACGGATTAGCCAAAGTGCACATTACAAACTAACGAGAATCAAAGGTTTGGGGCGACCAAACACGTCATTTCAGATCCTCGCGATCCACTAACGGTGCTTTTAGGTATCTTAAGCACCGGTCATCGTTCTTGTCGAACCCGTCGCTTGCGACGAAGGGCTCGACGAGTAAATTAACCCTCAGACACAGCCCATTGCGTTTCTCGCCGGATCTTCTCAGTGGGTCGCTTTTCCGATCCGGTGGTAGATTCTGCGAAGCACGGCTCTTGCTAGGGTTCGTGTTAGCAACGTCGTCAGATTTGAGCCCCGTGAGCTCACCTACTAGTTAAAGTTACGCTGAAATAGCCTCTCAAGGCTCTCAGCTAGGTAGGAAATAAAAATCAAACCCGCAAAATTATAATTTGCGTAATTACTGGTGGTAGGACCTCTTGTGAGTCCGCGCGGGTAGGTACCACCGCCCTGCCTATTTCTGCCGTGAGGCAGTAATGCGTTTCGGTCTGAAGGGTGGAGCAGCTGTTGTAACTATACTGAGATCTTAGAACATATCTCAAGGTGGGTGGCGCATTTACGTTGTAGATGTCTATGGGCTCCAGTAACCACTTAACACCAGGTGGGCTGTGAGCACGTCCATCCATTTAAGCTATAAAAAAAAATTTCAATCGATAGGTACGCCGCGCTTAATTTGTTTCCTAAAGTGATTCTTGTCCACCTGATGGTTTTCTGAAAGTGATATATTATATCTCTTTGCGATAAGACCGCCCGTTGTACTTTTTGGTATTTAATGTTTTGCATTTTTATTTATTTTGTATACAATAAAGCATACTCTCTCTTTATCTCTCTCTAGCGTTCTGAAACTTCTGTTTAACATAAAATATATGTATTTACGTACACATACATAGTATACATACACACACATAAGATTTGTTACTTTGTATATTTTACGAGAGCCCATAAGAATCACATCATAACTCACCTTAGAAATGCGAACAAAATGGTCGGCACTTTTCAAGCCATAAGAGTCACCATCATATCACACATTTCATCCGCTATAGATAGGTCATCGAAGCAAGTTGTAGCTGAATACTTACTTCAGCTTTATGAAATGTATCTTCTGCTAAGTTTATCGCGGATGTTTACAGTGGGTTGTGACTAAGATCCAGTGGTAGATGTCCTCGTCAAGTAGTTGCCCTTAAATTGTTAGATATCCTTCGTAAGGTACTGAGGCAGTTATTAGAATATACCAACGTGGCCGAATTGGAGCTTGCTTGCCCGTCTCGGTCAAGACTGGAAGGCCTCTGTACTGTGACCGATCTCTTTATCCGAGAAAATGTGAAGTATACTAAATCCAATAATGACGCAAATTTTATAAATATATGTAGCGGGCTAAATTTTTATTACATGACCTTTTTCCTTCTCGTCTGTAGCAGTATTTCGTGAAGACGTGCTAAATTCATATTACCTTAGAGACCTTGAAGCCTTTTGGGTTATAGTAGCTGAAGATTTTAATCGATATATATACAATGTATATAAACAATGTATTCCGATATATCAAAAAACTTACCTCTAGTAATCGGATTAATTCCAATATATAGTGATGACTATTAATTTAAGTTAGTTCGAGGAGACAATCAATCCAAGAAGATGGGTGGAAAAAATAAGAATGATACAGTCGTCCGGAAATCGTTATGTAGTCAACAAGTGCCCTGCAATCGAATCATTGAAGATTTATCGAGCGTTCTCCATTCATGTGAGGCAACAAATTATTTAACAGCTACCGTTGATTTACGTTATCGCTAGTCATATCAATATTGATTGAACAACTTAACAGGTATGACGTTTTCTTTAAGCAATATTCTTTATCAATTCTAAAATCGATGCCCCTCGTATTTTAACACCTTTTATAACTGGTGGTAGGACCTCTTGGGAATCCGCACGGGTAGGTACCACCACCCCGCCTATTTCCGCCGTGAAGCAGTAATGCGTTTCGGTTTGAAGGGTGGGGGTAGCCGTTGTAACTATACTGAGACCTTAGAACTTATATCTCGAGGTGGGTGGCGCATTTACGTTGTAGATGTCTATGGGCTCCAGTAACCACTTAACACCAGGTGGGCTGTGAGCTCGTCCATCCATATAAGCAATAAAAAAAAAATAAAAAAACTTTTGCAAAGCAAGGTCTGCATTATTCGAGAGATTCATTTCTTTTTCCTACCTATGCTGATAGTCTTGAGCGGCTATTTCAGCTTCTCCTTAACGTGTAGGTGAGCTCACGGGCTCAAACCGGGTGTGTTGGTAACACTGGCCCTAACAAGAACAGTGCCTCGCAGAATCTACCACCGGATCGGAAACGCGACCCACTGAGAAGATCCGGCGAAAAACTCAGTGGGCAGATTCATTAGACATACGTCATTATCGTAGAGGGACTATGAGACTAATAAAAAAATGTCTTTGTTAATAAAACGTTGCAGAAGAAAAATAGTTTTTGTCCTTATTTTTAATATCGGTTGCAGTTAATGAAGTATTTTAAAAACATAAATTTCACAGTCTGAATTTGGAATATCAATTTCATTATTTATAGAATAACATAAAGTAATTTTGTATAATGTATCATTGTATTCTGAATCAGCACGTATAAACACTTGACATAACACATATTTTTTAATGATATGCAATGTTTGCAATAATTCGATTGCTAAATAATTGCGATAATAAAGTAAATAAAGATAAATTTTATCAATTTCAATGCTTGACGAATATTTTTCACAGAATATTTTTACTGCTTAGAGACAAAAACTTATTATATAACGTATAAAACATATTAAATTCAGGGCCCATTTATAGAATAAAAAAAACATTTAATGCATTCTATATTTATGCATGTAATGCGATTAATTTAGTATTTAATGAATGCAATATGGATGCAAAATGTGAAGTAAATGAAATAAATAAAATAAAAAAATACATACAAAATTAGTTGCTCCCGTCGCATGACAAGTTAGTGAATATAGTTATATTGAGAATATAGCGAATATGCGAATATTCGCTTTATTATGTAAATAACGCCAATCATGACGACATTGGAGGATAAACAAAGGTTAATCATATTTGATTAAAAATATTGATAATTAATTATTTCACGAAAAAATGATAATCTCTATTCAGCTAGACTATGTATTTCTGGAAATGGTTTTTCTTTCAAAGAAATTAAAAAAAAGGTAAATGCCCATTATTAACTCAGAATTAATTCTAATATTAAAGCGTCTGAAGGTTGGAATAGGTACTCCTAATCATCCTCCTTTAGTTTCAGGCGAGAGAACCATAAATAAAACAATGATCTGCTATTTGTACTGAAAATGTATTTTTTTCTTCACTACCTTTTAATTGCGTTGTTCGAGATCCAAACCACTTATTTTCATTGTGGTTATAAAATAAAGAAATAATTGAATATACTGTATGCGTTCATGCCTGTAAATTTGGTTCTCAACATTAACTTTAAAGTATTAATAAATAAATAAAGATCAAACAATGTTTAATGAGATTACAGTTTAGCGAATGAATATTTTACGCGGGACCACCATGATGCTCGGAGTTGTTTGTTTTCGTTCCATTTTACGTGCCGCCGTAATGCCTCATGTGTGTCGAGGGGTGGCGAAACGAAGTGGGACTAAACGACTACGCTTTTTATTTTTATTTTTTTGCGTTCGCCGAACCAGCTCCCCTCGTATACAAGTTATTAAAAAAAATAAAAATACAAAGGACCGTGTGAATTGATTTTTATAAATAGTACTTGATAAAGCTGTTGTACTAGAGAAGTTGGCAGTTTTATACGAATTACGTTCTGTTTAATTTGTAAGTTAATTTTATTATTATGAACATGCTTGCTCAGGTATTTTGTTACTTAGGCCGTAACTGTTAAGCATGTTGAAACAAAAGCTAATGATGTCTACTAAATTAAATATGCATTTTGTGTTTTAAACAAAACTAGTGGTCCCGTAGTAGTCGAAATTCGACTATAATTAATTGAAATTATAAGTTTCAACATTATTATGGTCCTATTGTTACATATTTCGCCAAAACTACACTATAGACAAATACTCGTAATATTAAAGATAAACAATACTAATCTATTCTATATATCTAT